CTTTCCCTTTCTATCTCGCATTCTTTTTTTACCTTTCAGAAAATCACAGCTTTTGAACCCTAAAAGGTCTGGATTGATCATACAGCTTTCTGAAAAAAAAAAAAAAAAAAACAGGGCACGTGAAGGTTGGCATTGGTGGGGGACAGACATCAGGATCATCTTCAGCTTATTTCTTTCTGTATCAACTTACACCACGCCGTTTGTATTCTAATTTAATAACATTGTACAAATGGTTTGGTGTTGTATACGCAGATAAAATTAAGTTTTTAACATAGGCAGTGTGTATTTCTGTCAGGGTGAGAATCAACAGTAAAAATCAGGCAGCAACTAGTAGCAGCTAGTTGGTAGCAACTAGTCCTGAGGAAAAGAGAAGCCCTTGGCTCTGTGTACAGGCATTTGGTTTAGGGTTAATCTCACTGGAAAGCTAGAGGCTCCTTGAGATTTTTATTGCTTTCTCCCTGGTTGCTTTTAAAAACATTTCCCAGGCAGTGCTCTGATTTTCAAAACTTATTTCAGATTTAAAAGTTGTCCTTTTAAAATGAATTTCCAAATCATTGCTTTCTCCTGGCATGAAACTGTGGAGAAGAGAAATGTTTTACCACCTGGATATTTTATTGCTTAGTAAAGATATCAAAGACTCGGGAATTTTATTTATCTTCTTCCAAAAAATGTTGTCTACTTGTATTTGATGAGTTTGACTACTATGATGAAGGCTTAATTTTTTTTTTTTAATTATTAGGACAGCACCAAAGGTAGTAGGGTGTGCCTGTATCTTAGCAGGGGGCCTTCTTGATAGGACAAGCCCACAGCACCACTGCTGTTTAACCTTTACTAACTGGAAAATACACTTAACAAATAATGAGCTACTGCTGGGTGTGTAAGTTATAAAAAGTGTTTCCTGGAAATCAGTGAAACGAGTTTATACATGAAAGTAAGAAGAGGATATATTTAAAGTTTATGAAAAATATACTTAAAGCAAATTAAAAGGAAATACTTATTAATAAACCCCAATAGCTTGAAACATGAGCTAATTTTTTTTTTTCCTTTTTAGAAAGACAACAAAGTTGCTGCATAGTCTGCAAACAAGTCTTTGAAAATAGATGGATTTTTAGCTCTTCGTGGTCCTGAGAATTGGTTTCAGTCTTTGAGAAGAATGAAAAAGTGAATTTGCTGTATATTTGTCACCAGCACTGGGTTTTTGTTTGTTTGTTTGTTTGTTTTTCTGCTTAATTTCAAAGATACAATACAGTTAATTTTGGGGGTGGGAGGGAAGGCTCATCTTAATAAATGAGCATTAAATATATTTGGAATAGCAGAAGGTTAAGTAATTTCTTATGTATAGTTAAACTAAAGCAGTACTCCAGTGGAACTTATAAGTATTTTTTCATCACTGAAAGGATTTTTCTTATCACTAAATTGTATTTGGCAATTATTGTGAGTTGCCTGCAGATAGGGCCGTGATACTGTTTTGAGCCACAGAAGGAAGGGTCTGTGTGTCTGTGTGTCTGTCTATATGTTTCTTTTTCTTTCTTTCTTTTTTTGGAAATCCTGTAATAACCCTTCTGAGGTAGCTTATTTCGTCAATTAATTAGGGTGCTGGATGGTAGAGAATTTTGTCAGTCAACTATGTACACACAGTAAATACTGTTTCTTAGGCAAAGGTAACTTTTTTATATAGTTGTAAAATTCCATTATATTCCATTGCCAAAGAAACATTAAGAACTTTGTATAGCTGTATAAAAAGCAACTAATTTTTTAAAGAATAAACATTTTAAAGTCAGCAAACATACTGTGTCCTTGCAGAAGTTGATGTGTTGAGGAGCAGAAGTATGGGTGGGTCTTTTTTTCATAGCTTTTCAGGCTTAAGATTGTTGATTTTGATTTTTTTTTAAATGTTTGAAACGTAAATGAAGATTTGATACATTCTTTCATTATCTAAAAAGGGTAAATTACTTATGCTCATTGTAAGAACTTTATTTTGTAGCAAATGGCATATCACAGGATTTATCCACATAATAGATATTTTCAGTATACAAATGTAAATAATCATAGATAAGAATGTACTTAGCTGTATTTTCAAATAAGTAACCCCCCCCCTTTTTTAAGACAATAAAACTAGGTGTCAATTAACCTATTCTTCCTGATATGCCTGGAATTTTGTTGTGATACCTTGACTGTTTCCATTATATTTCAAGAGGATTCAGAGTGTTAGAAATTATTTTGGCAACCTATAAGATATCATAACACTGGTCCTTAGGCCTGTGACCCACAAATGACTCAGTATAGAGTTAATTGCTAAAATTATTAGTAAATCTTTTTGATATTTTAAGCTATAGTGGAAAAAAAAATCTGGCCACTTTGTGTTTTTATGAAGGCCGTGGAATAAAGGGATCCAAAGATTAAATATTTTTATCTGTTTTGATTTTTGTTAACTTTCTCCTTAAAATATTCAGTAGTGATAAAGATATGGAAAATTGCACTGTAGGAGAATTGGAGTATATAAAGGTGGTTGAGATTTTTAATTTTAATTTTATATCTTTTGTGTAGCTCTACAAGAAAATGTTTTGTCATTTGGTTTCATTATTAAGGTCCAGTACTTGGCAGCCATAGTTTAGATAATATTGTTTAATACTGTTTGCTTGCATGTTAACAACAAAATCTTTTGGAGGACCCATAAATCATGGCATTGAACACATTTCTGAGGCATTCTGAACAGCAAAGCAAGTGCTATGGCAATACCTGTGTAGACTATTAGAGATGTCCTGGGCTGATTTGAAAAAAAAAACAAAAAAAAACTGTAAATACCAGTTCTACACGCTCTGAAAGTATGAATTCATGCATTTTCCAAGCCCTCTGCGTCATTGACTAGGGCATTTGGTACCCCAGTAATAACCGGCAGCGTGACATACCTGCAGTGCACCTTACAATATTAAAAAGGTTTTTATTCTAAGACAGAATAAAACTGTTCAATAAAAAATGCTCGTCAAAGTTCTTTCTCTTTAAACACTAATATTTTCTTTCAGTAGAAAGAAGTATAGTGAAGGGCATCTTTAACATGTAAGAATGGAATTATGGTCATGTTTATATTCCCTAAAGTAGCTAAATTAATTTCTGTTTTCCTAGGATTTATACAGTGTTGTGTTTAAAGCTGGAAGCCCTTTCTCCCCCTCCTAGAGTACAGACAGCTCCTGAGTTACAATCCATGACATGAGGAGACTAAGCCAACCAGGCACAAGCCAAGCTGGAAACCTTAGGCTAGAATGCACCCTCTGTGAGCAAGCATATGCAAAAGGCAAAAAAAAAAAAAAAGGAAGGGCTGATTCCACTGAAACTTGTCTTTGGATAGACCATTTCCCCTTCCAAAAGCACCACTTAATGTGAAGGGTAGGGAGGGTGTTCAGGAATGTTAATTCAGCTCAATGGATCTTAATCAGGGGTGAACTGCCATCCAGGGAGCATTTAGGAATGAGAAAGCAGGTGTTTTGGTTATCACAATGACTCGGGGGCCACCACTGGCATTTAAGAGTAAGGGCCAGGATGGTAAATGTTCTGTGCTATGCTAGACAGTGCCGTAATTGATTATCCAGCCCAAGTGCAGCAGTGACCCTTCCACTTTGAGAAATCCTGACTAAAGTCCCTCTACATGGAAAGACAATGAGTGGGGAGTTAATTTTTCCCCCAAAATTTTTAATAAAACTTTACTAAAGAATCTTTACATGGTATATGAAAGGAAAAGGACCTTACTTGCAGGAGTACTGTCAACATTTTGGAAACTCATTTATTATCACATAGGAATTACCATTTCATCCTGTTCTCTTGTCAGTAGTTCATAAATCTCATACCAGAAGCACCTGAGGAGCATTTTTTAAAGTACAAATTCCCATGCCCCACACTTAGAGAGTCTGATTCTGAAGTTCTGCAGTGAAACCTGGGAATCTGCCTAAGTCCCACAGGTAGTTCTGGTCAGCCAGGTTTAGAAAGCCAATTTTAAAACATCACAGCTGACTCATCTAACCTAGCCCCCCTCCTTGTAAGGGTCTTGGTGATGTTTCCATGTAGAACTATTTTATCATTTCTCTGTCCTTCCAAATTCAGTATATCTAAGTTGTGACTCCAGCATGAAGAGTGGGAAAGAACTAAATGGAACAGGGGTGCATTTCTGCAGGATAGAATCTAAGGGGAAACAGGAAAATTGAGACTTGTTTCCTCTACTCAAAGCAGGGTTTGTCTGCTTTGAGTACCGAGGCTCCGTTCCTGGCATATAGGAAATGAGTGTGTGTTGTTTCTGTGTCTCAGTTTTACATAGTTTTTGTCCCTGTCTCCATGGGTTGTCAGTCTGAAAGAAAAGCTGCTCTTTCTGCACAGCCCTGTGGTAATAGCTCACATCTGATCGTGTCTGGATTCACTGTTACAGGATCCCCCTGCCCTATTAGTTCAGAGACTATAATCTGGTTTAAGTAGTGACAGTGGGGAGAGTGTCACAGAATAAAGTAATGAAGGTGAGTGAGCTCTTAGAGGAGCTCAGATGTCAACCAGTTTGCTTAGTTTACCTACTTTGACTGATTTTAAAAGATGACAGGGGCTTCCCTGGTGGCGCAGTGGTTGAGAGTCCGCCTGCCGATGCAGGGGACACAGGTTCGTGCCCCGGTCCGGGAAGATCTCACGTGCTGCGGAGCGGCTGGGCCCGTGAGCCATGGCCGCTGAGCCTGTGCGTCCGGAGCCTGTGCTCCGCAACGGGAGAGGCCACAACAGTGAGAAGCCTGCGTACAGCAAAAAAAAAAAAAAAATGACAAGTATGAGTACAATCAGAATCAAACTTAAGGAAGTAAAGTAGCACCGTTAATCTCTGAATCTGGGTGTGCTTAATGGGGATTTGCTCAGAGCAGGCTACGTTAGCTTCTCCCAGTATAGAGACACTGGGACAACTTCTTGGCATAGGAGCTAGTCAGGTGAGGGAAGTAAGGGAGAGTGTAGCTTTGAGCAGCAGAGACTTGGAGGCCAGCAGCAGCCAGTCAGCCAGCTAGTGTGTACACTGGGAAGCTAAAGATGCAGGTCCCAGGCCCTGCTGTTGGGGTCAAACCAACCTCCTGAGGAGGAGTGACGCAGAAGTTTTTATCCTGTTTTTCAAAGCCACGGTTAGTAAAAGCAAGCTTGTGGTTTTTGAGACAGTTTGAAATCTGGCTCCAAGAGCACATGATGAGACTATGAATCTAATGTGGTTTCTGTTCTCAGTGATGGTGCCAAGCTGTGCCCGTTATATGGGTGTTCTTTAAATTCCAGTTTGGTTCGTATTTTAACAGACTTGGCTGACTGATAAAAGTGTTTTCACGTTTCACTCATAAACATATCACAATCAACCTGAATCTGATTCTAGTTCATAATGAATGTTGATTTTTAGGGAAATGCTTGAAAATGCACTGGTGTCTGTATTGTGGTTTATAAAGAAACAAAGCAGCTCTGTGAGGCCAAAGCATATTTCAGTTTAATAATAAGGCTTTCATAGAGTGACTCATAGTTTAGGTGCACAGAAACAACTGAGAGCGGCCAGCAAGGAGCTCATGGCCCAGAAAGTCTTGACTTTGCCTCTAAACTTGAAGGCATCCTGGGAGTGGAAGAGCAGAGAGCCAAGAATGCCAGTTTGAGGAAGTGTGAGAAGCCTGGGCCAAGGCGAGATTGTAATGAATTCCAGTGAATGGTTTACAGTCATCCCAGCACAGAGAACAGGAACATGTTTACTAGATGTCTGGAGTGTGCTTCTGTTATCCTGGTACTCACTTAATCCTTATAATCCTCGGGTGCTGGCCTCACACAGGATTGTTGATGAGAATGCAAATCCCAACATTGCAGTTCAGGATTTTGCTTGTGCTGAAATTGTTTTGTAAATTTCTTTTAATGGGTTAGTTGGGTGACAGTTATCCCTTACTCCATTCCGCAGTGTTTAATAGCATTTCTTTTGTCCCAGAATGGGTTTTGGAGCTTTGCAGATTTCAGTTTACAGAGGAATGAGGTATAGTTTCATTTTTGTATAAGTAATACACTGTAAAAAGGATATGGGCTGTATGGAGATGGTTTTTAAAAATAGATAAATAAAAGAAGAAAGAAAATCTACCATCCCACCATTCAGGGCTAACCATTGGTAACACTATTTGGCTATATATTCAACGTGGCATTGTTCTGTACCAGCATGTGCTTTTCAGCAAAAATAGATTCATAGTATACGTACTATTTTGAAACTTGCTTTTTTCACTTCGTGTATTGAGTAGCACTGTTTTGTTTTAAAGTATGATTATGCACACAGAAAAGCACACATATCATGATTCCTTATGTAAACAGTACCCAGAAGCCCCCTTAAAACTCCCTTCCAGGGGCTTCCCTGGTGGCGCAGTGGTTGAGAGCCCGCCTGCTGATGCAGGGGACACGGGTTTGTGCCCCAGTCCGGGAGGATCCCACATGCCGTGGAGCGGCTGGGCCCGTGAGCCATGGCCGCTAAGCCTGCGCGTCCGGAGCCTGTGCTCCACAACAGGAGAGGCCACAACGGTGAGAGGCCCACGTACCGCAAAAAAAAAAAAACAACTCCCTTCTGGTAGCCCCCACCCCCTCAAGGGTAACAACTATCCTGACTTCTAACAGCTTAGATTGCTTTTGCTTGTGTTTGTTCTTTACATAAATGGAATTAAACAGCATATATGCTTTTGTACTTAGCTTCTTTGCTCAACATTGTGTTTGTGAGATTCATCCATATTGTTGCATTTGGCTGTGGACCGTTCGTCTTCGTTGCAGTATAG